CTTGCTTGGTCAATATAGTAATAGAGAATTCAGTTTCTTTTTATTGTTTATATATACCTTGCTATAAGGATTATGTCTATGGTTTTTCCATTTATTTCATTTAGTAATTCTGTGTTCACATATTTGTTTCTTATGGCACAGAAATATTTTATTACATTCATGTACCACATTTTGTTTATTCATTACCTGACTGATAAGGCATTTACTCTTTCGGAATTTCCTCTCTCCTCTGTATAGGAGAGAGGGGTCCACATTCGATGTCAATGAGGGTGTATAATGACTATAGAGCTGCGTCTATGCCTTGATCCCTTTATCAGGTACAAACACCTCTCAAGTTGAGTCAAGACAGGAACTATGCAATTTAATAAGAAAGTAAATTATTCATACCTCTAAATACTTTATATAGATAAACTATGAGGTGCTCTCAGAGATTCCATTGGAAAACCCACCCCTCCTTGGGGAGAAGAAAGGAATGTTTCTCTTTTCTTAACCCAACATCAGATTTGGAGAGGAACTCCTAGAAGAAGGGGGGTCATCATATTATCACTTTCAAACCAAATCTGGCTCTTAGCTTGTTTGTGTATGGGCTAATGAGCTACTATTGGTTTTTGCATTTTAAAGAATGTTTTATTGTATATAAAGTGTAAAAACAAAATAACCCTATTCTTAGCTCATGGGCAGTACAAAAATAGGCAGCAGACCAGATCTGGCCCTTGGGCCATAATTTTCCAACCTCTGCTCTAGACCATAGCAAATGTATCCAAGAAACAGTCACACATTCTTGGATAGATGTACATAGAGAGAGACTGTTGCCTAATTAAGGTAGTAGCTTTAAGAAGGATGACCCCCTGCGACTATGAATCAAGTGTGGAGAAGAGAAGAAACTGAAAACCCCACATATGGACTTTATAAAGAGAAGTATCAGGAAGCGTGAGTTATTTTTGCCATATGTATATCCTATACATGTTCCTCATTACCATTATACTCTTGTTTGGGCCCAATCTTCCCAAGAATACTAGGGGTAACTGTAGAAGACTGAGCCCCAGGTTTATGGGGAGGAGGTTTTATCATGTTGGTTCTTGCCATACCATTTGATTAAATGCCTCTGAAAAGAGCTGAGTGTATGGGCTGATTATTAATTGGAAACACACTCATGGGGGCTTATACGCTACAGTAGGTGGAACTGCTAACTAGAATGTTACCTCTAGAAAACGAGTTAGCAACCATCCTCTGGGGACTTAACCTTTGTGGGCTGGGGGTATATCCCAGAAGGAGTATTACTCATGAATGGCAGAGTAACATCTACAAGAAGTCAAAAGAATGGACTTAATGAAGGGTTCCAGAACACTGAGTGCAAATCCTATTATGAACCTATGGTAGGATATAGACAAGAGTTGCACAGGATAGGCAAACATGAATAGGTCACAATATGTATCACTGAAGGGAATACTGAAAATGAAATCACAGATACAATGGAGTAGTAGAGTGAAAATGAGACAAGTTTTATTATTACTCAGTAAAATCAACTTGTTTTAGTTTTGCTTTACAGGGGAGTGAATTCCTAAAATTTAACTAGAGTCAAATGTAATTCTTAAAATATAAACATATAAGTTAAATAATTTCTAAGGTTAAGTATGACAAACTTGGAATACTTGGCTTCCTTCAATTACAAATTAGGTGCCATCTGATAATCTCTTGCTATTAACGCATTCTTCCTCCTAAAGTTATATTATGGTTATTTGTATTTTCAAATGATGTATCTCCTGCCTTTAGGGAATGCACTATTTCTTTGTATTCTTAGGATTGCCCACATTTTAAAAATCAGAATTGTGATTTTATTAGTTAGGGAAATTCTTATGAAAAAGAATTCTTCTGTAACTTGCGGTTTTAAAGAGTTGCTGAGGGCACTGAGAGTTTAAATGTCTTGTCCATAGTCACACAGATAGTATGGACAGAATGCAGGACTTGAAACTTTTCACTACACCAAGCTGCATCTGTTTTGGACACAATAGTCACTTAATAAATGTCTACTGAATTAAAATGAGCATGGTGAATATTGTAATAATAGTTTACCTCAGTCTTCTAGCTCAAAAGACATTGCAACCAGAGAGTCAATTCTGAGGTTGGGCTTTGACTAATTTGATAATTTTTAAAAAATCAAGCGTAACAATCTGCTTGATATGATGGCACAAAGTAATGATAATAATCACAAAATATAATCCTGAATCCTACCACTATGAAGTATAGAAGAAAAATAACATTTAATTTTGGAAAATGAAACTTGGCAGTTCCACATACTGTATTTAGAAGTATAAGACTGTTAGGAAGTTCACATATATATCGCATAAAAATGTGTATATTTTTGTAAAACATGTATCAATTCACTTCTGAGGTCCCTTTCACTTCTCAACTTATGATAATTTAATATAGACATATCCTGGTCTAGCTAACACATTAGCATTTTTAACCCAACTACCTTTAAAGAGGTAGAAAGATGTATCTTACCATAGAGAGCCAAGTATATCCATAGCAATATCTTCAACAAGAAATAAGTCCCATTCCCCAAACACAATATTCCTTCTCTCTCCTTACCCTCTGCTCACTACCTGTATGGACACATCATCTAAAATCCCTGGATTTCAGCTTTGTATCTGTATAAAGGAGATTGGGTTGGCTTCGATGGCCTCCAAGACCCCTTCTCACTTTATGTCAAAGATCCTATGACATAGTCAAACCTGATCTTTCACTCTGGTGGTGACACATAGGAATTCAAATATCTCTCTGTTCATAGTTTGTTACAATGTCAAAAGGGTATGGCTTTTATTTATGAAGTTCTACATCTAAGTCACTGTTGGCACAAAAGTTTCATTGCATTAGTTGTGAAAAAGATGTTAGCATTTTAAATTAGTTTGAAGTTCTTGGCATATATCTGACTACAGGTGATGGCATCATACAGAAGAATCAGTGAATCACTTTTATTGGAATTATATTCTAGTTCTACAATCAACATAGTGAAACTGACTGAAAAATCCTTTGCTATAAATGCAGTGAATTGACTTGGCTATAGTAATGGGATTTGTAAGAGGGCAGAAGGAAGGACATTTCAGGCTTTAAGGAGGATAGTTTTGTTGGTGGATGAACTCTAAAGTTATAAAACTCTAAGGGAACCCTTTTGGTAACAGGCAACAATGAAATTTTAAATTAAATCCTAAATGAGGCAAATTCTCCTGGTTACTCAGGGAAAAAAAAAGATAAAAAAAGACAAAAAAGTCTTTATGTGTGCCACTTCTTTTCCTATATAGATTTCTACAGATTAATGAGACATATATGTATACCAAGGGCTTACAGATCTTCCCTTATTTTAGTGCTTAACATTTAACATCTAAATTAAGAACACATTATATTTATGTATTTCATAATATGTTATAGTTATCCATCAAACCCACTTTGAATTCCTGGTCAGAAATTTACTAGAGGTTGATAAAAGTGTAGGGTTCATTTTCATTAGTTCCATTCATTATTTTTAGGGATTGACTACATTAACTAGGCTTTACACAGATATTAATTTTATCACTCAATAATGTTCAGATACAATTTGTTACCATTAAAAATAGCTGAATATCGATTGTAGAAATACTTTGGTTCAGGTTTAATTGCTCTGCTTAAAGTGGGAAATTTAGAGGATACATGTGGTATAAGGGATGGACATAGAGTAAGGAACATATGAGTTCATAACCCTCCTCACACTCTTACAACCTATGTGCCTGGACAAGTCAGTTAACCTTTCTCACCTTCAGTTTCCTCATCTGCAAAATGGGAATAATAATAGCACCCACATTACAGGGCTATAGCAGATCAAATACGATATATAAATTACTTTGCAAAACTTAAGAGCTATATAAATGTTAGGTATTATTATTACTATTAGCCATGGAATACAATAATGCATAGTAGTTAAATGACTAGTCTTCATGTGTGGAAGACTTGAGTTTAAATCCTACCCTCTAACTAATACTAGATGCATAACATGGGGAAATCATTTATCCTCTCAGTGCCCTCTGCAACTCTCTAAGGTTATGAATTGCTAATGAGTGACAGCTATTTCAATACTTTGGATACAAACTGTAGCTCTACTTACCACTTCTAGTCTGACAATATGCACATTTTATGGTCAAATGAATACTAAGAATGTTGTTTTCCCTGTACATGCACATACATAGAGAAATACTAAGCTGCCAAATGGTTAACAATTAAACTGTCATATTGTAAATTTGTAACCTATTTAGAGACAGTATAATTTCTTGAATTTCTTAGAACAGATAAAGGTTTACACTAACAAGCTGGTTAAAGGCTTTCCTTTACTTTGGTACATAAAATGATATGCCTAAATTAAGAAAATATTATCTTTACTTAATAATTTATTATACTTTTATAGTTATCTATCAAACTACCAAACTATCTCCTGATGTTAACAAAATTTAATTGATTCTACTTTTTTCTAGGTACCCAAGGCAAGCATCCAAATAAAAGAAGACCCTGAAATACATTCAATAGCAAATTTTTAGCATGCTACCAAAAAAGCAACAAAGTTGACTCAAAGGCAGTTACATCTAGTAGGTGATAATACTCAGCATTCTGTTTGTCTCCTGTTCCTTTTCAGCTGCATACAAATGATATCATCCCTACAGGGAACTCACCTGTCTTGCTAACTATAGGCAAAATGTTGTGACAGAAGGTGCTAGTGAGGGAGGGAGGCTATAGATCATGGCTAAAATGTGTTTGAATATATTCAATTTTAAAACAAGGAGTAGTATGATTTGGGGAAAGATTTATAAAGAACTGTTTTTCTTATACTACTATTAAGCAAATCTCTTAAAAACATTTCACCAAATAAACTGCAAAATGTATTTCATTAAAGTGATAGAACACTCCTTAGATTAACAGCATTCAGTGCAAACAGACAAACAAACAAAAATCCCATGGGAAAAGTCTTTACCTACCTTTGCTTGTCCAGCTTTTGTGATTGCAGGTATGTCAAACAGTTGACCAGTGTAGAACTGCACTCCACTGAACAAGATCACAGCAACAGAGTCTCCTTCCTTCTCAATTACTTCAAGAATATCTTCCATTCTCAAGGTGTCCTCTCCCTAAAATAAAATGAGCATATCAACCTTAGCAATAATGAAACTGTCATTTCTTATTTAATAATCTACATTTTATTGTGATCTAGGCACCTACATAAGAAGATCAAAAGTGAATTTTTGTCAGTCAAATGAGCTACAGAAATTTATCCACCAAGCCCACAAAATAACATGGAATATCCACATGTACAACCATTTCATGTTTTATTCAGTCTAGTTGGCTTTCTCTCCCCTCCACTCCCCCCCTCCACTCAGGAAAAAAAATACTATAAAACAGGCCATTATCTATAGACTAATTAAGTTGGTGAAAACTTTGAATAAAATTAATTAGGTAATGCAAAAAACTTGGGGTGGAACCAGTTGAACTGAATTTAAGTCTGAATATCTTAGCCATACTGATGCCTTTATCAAAACTTCAGAGGTTACTTCTTTTCCCCTCAAACTGACTTGGGCCTGGTCTCAAGAGTTATTAGGTGAGTTTATCAGTTGTTATCAATAAGATGATTACAATTATGCAGCTAAGTAAAGATACTTGGTTACAAAATTTATAAAAATTTAAAACAAAATTTTAGTTTTATAAAATTGTAGGAATATATCAATGCAAAATTTAATGTAAATATTGTCTGAGAATGCTTAATTTATCTAATCATAACTCACAATGTCTTCAACAAATTAAAAAAATGCATAGTGTTCTCTTTGACTTTTTCTAGATCAAGTTTTTGACGAATGGATCAAAGATCTTAGTTTATGAAAGGCCATCAGTTTGCTATAGTTTGTCTCTTGTGATTTTAGAGCTTATAATATGAAAATCTGTATACTTCCATTTCTGTCATGAATTATTATTTAAGGAAGCAAATACGTTATACAATTTTGTCTTTCTGGAGAATTCTTGATGTGGAAAAGATAATTTCTTCCATTGATAGAGATCATGAGGTCCACAGAGGTCATGTCAGAAGTGGGATTTGCCCACAGCAGCAGGACTTATATTTCTTTTAAAAAATATTATACAGCAATATGTGTCTTAGCAATAGGTTGATTCAAGAATAAAAATAGTAGGGCTTGTATTTCAAAGCCCCTTTCATTTATTCTTTTTTTAGGCAATTGAGGTTAAGTGACTTGCCCAGGGTCACACAGATAGTGTCAAGTGTTTGGTCTGAGGCTGGATTTGAACGCAGGTCCTCCTGACTTCAGGGCCAGTGCTCTTTCCCCTGCACCACCTAGCTGCCCCCCCAAAGCCCCTTTTAAAGAATAACCATATGAATAGACTATGGTGAAGTTGACATACTGGATGTTTAGATGTTTAGAAGGTGAAAAATTTATCTTCCTTAGATACGACTTATTTCTTGTCAAAAGACAAAGGTATCAGATCTAAGGAGGTTGAAAAATGTTTGGTTTTAAATTTAAGAGATAAGAGGAGTGACAATTAGGATGTGTATATAGTGACTGAATGTTACAAGGCTTCACACCCTGTTTGCCTCAATTTCTTCAACTGTAAAGTAGGGATAATAATAACACCTACCTTGCCTGGCCCAAAGCCAACCTTAATAAATGCTTATTCCTCTTCCCCCTTTCAATAGTATATATCATAAGCAGTATTTAGAATTCTAAGCCTTGTATGTAATTCACCCCTATTTCAAGGATGCTAAATATTCTAGTGATATTAACAGATCAATATTTAAATTATGTTATTGAATGCCACTGAAAAGAAAGTTTAAAAGTCATTACTTCCAATTTCCTACTTAAAGGAAAATTCTCAAAGCTAACAATATTACAGGATGATTTTATTTCTTTGTAAGTTCTATTAATGTAAAATAAATAGAAGGAGTAATGAAGAATCAGTTAAATCACAAAAATACTGAAAATAAATTCTAAACAGTTCTTTCTTACACACCTGTCTTGGTTTTATCATCAGCATGCTTTTCTCAACATCTAGCCCACGAAGCTGCAGTTGTGACTCAATTGCATACTGGGGGGAAAATATGGATGGCTAATTAAATGAGGATGAGGAACATGAGGAAAAGAGAGAGAACAATGATTTTGAGAGTAGATTACCAATCAAATCCATACCACCACCACCCTGACCCAATCTATAGCTATATAGATCTCACTGAATGATAAAATTCTAAAGCTGGATAGGTGTAATGGATGAAAATGTAGTACTTGGAGTCAGTAATGTCTAGGCTTAAACCTCACCTATGGCACTTAATGGATGTCAAGAAATAGTTTAACATTTCTGAGCCTCGTTTTCCTCATCTGTAAAATGAGGATAATAATACCTACACTATCTACTTTAGATCATTGTTGTGAAGCTCAAATGAAGCAACAGATCATTTAATATATTTTAACATAATGCACAGATGTCACCTATTATAAAAGCCAAGAAAGATTTCAGTTTGACCACAGTGAAAAACATGTACCAGAGAGATAACATGGTATAATGGAAAGAACTCCGATTGAGTCTCGGTTTCCTTATCTGTAAAATAGAAATTATTATTGCACTACTCCTATGGTAAGGAAAGACTTCTAGATGTGTGAGAAATACAGAGTGCAAAGAGCACTGGACTGGGAGTCAGAAGACCTCATTTTTGATCTTGGTTTTACCCATAACTAGTTATGTAAGGTTGACAAGTGACATCGTCTCTGTTTTCTTGTCTATGAATGAAGGAGATGGTCTAGGGTCTAATCTCTGGATTATCTCAAAACTAAAGTCCCTTATAGGTCTATTTAAAAAAAAAGCTACTCTCCTTTTGATCAGAGGCCCTTGCACCACATTTCACAGAAAAAAATCAGACCCTCCATGACCAGCTTCCTCTCCTCCCCAATCCCTTGCTTCAATGTCATCCCCCATTCTTTCCTATTTATGACAATCTTGGAGACTAAGATTCTACTTGTGTTCTCCTTGATCTTAGACCATCTTGTCTCCTCTGAGAAATCATCCTTTCAATAATTTTCTCTTCCCCTAATTTTTAACATCTCTTTATCCAAAACTCCTTCTCTGCTGTCTACAAACTTTCCCAGATCTCCCTCAATGGTTAAAATACCTGGACTCTACCAGTACCTCAAGTTATTGTTCTATGTCTCTCTTCCCTCTAACAGACAAATTACTAAGAAAAGTAGTCTATAATCCCCAACTTTTTCAACTTCCTCTCATTTATTTCTCTTCCTTCTCCTTTTTCTTTTTCTCTTTCTCCTCCTCCTATCTGAAAAAAAAAAATCACTTAGCATAGTACCTGACACATAGCAGGTTCTATACAAATGCTTATTTCCTATCCTTATTCCACCTCTCTATTTTGTATCTTTTATTTACTTAACTCTGTATTTGATGTATCTGCTCATCAGAATATTATCTGCCTAATGCCAGAACTGTTCATGTGTTTGCATCCCCAGAATCTAGCACAGTGCCCATCACATAAGAAGCATTTTCAAAAAGGTTACTGTTGGAATGATTGATACAAGAACAATATATACCAGGAATACTATATTATTAAAAGAAAAAGTTCGTCTGAAATAAATTTATTCAATAGGCAAGTTATTCATTGGAAATAACCAAAGGATGATAAATAATTGAATCCTTTTATGTCATATGATTTGCATATAATTATCTTAATAATATTAGTAATTGACATTTATGTAGTGCTTTAAAGTTTGCAAAGCTTTTTGCTTACAATATTTAATTTCAGCCTCACAATAACCCTGTGAGATGAGTATACAAAGACACTATTATGTTTCAACTACTTTGTCAGAATCACTTAGTATGTCAAGATATACTTGCTATAATCCCTTGTGTTCCCTCCCTCCTATTTTAAAATTTTAAAAAGAAGCTAATGGTTACCATGATGTAGGAAAGTTAGAAATGAAGATGGTTAATAGATAAACAGACTAAGGCCAAGGTCTCTGGTATATCCTGGCTGGAATTGGGTGGGACGAACCCTTCTAGAAGGTGGAAGTCTCTCAAAGTATGCAGCCTGGTCACTAAAGTCACCACCTCTAAGAGTGCAGTTATGAATTTGGCAACAACAGTAATATTAGTAGAAAATTCATTGAGAGCTGTAAGGTTTACAAAGTGTTTTATGTGCCTTATTTAGAGGCAATATGAAGTGATGGATCAAGTATAAGCCCTGGAGTAGGTAGAGAGGTATTGAAATCCTGCCTCACACACTTACTAGTTTTGGAACCATGGCCATGTTAACCATCATTTAACATTGCAGAAGCCATTTTCTCATTTGTAAAATAAGAGATAATACTTGAACTTCTGAACTCAAAGAACTATTGTGAAGAATGAACTTTCCAAAGTTTAAAATTATGCGTAAATGACAGTAATTATCACATGTGATATTCATACAACCTTATAAAAAGAACAACATGATGCCTATACTAGGGCAGGCACATAACAAATTTTTGTTGATTGACTGAAACTGAGGTTATGAGATTAAGTGACTTGCCTATCATTACTTAAATAGCTACTAAGACAGGGGCAGTGTAAGATACCAAGTATTTCCTAACTTCTCAACAAAGAACACTAAATACACAAAATAGTTCATCTAGAAATACAACTTGAATGATATAAAAGCAGAAATCAAGCATTCTAAATGATAAAACTAAAATTTACTTAGTGTCTGGGTTGGAAAAAATCTTGGTGTCTATTTTATGTTATCTTTAAAGTTAAAATAACTTCTAAGAGTTGAATAAATTGGCGGCAATAGCAGGAGTATATCAGTGAACTATATACCTGAAAATTAAGTTTTTAAAAAAAAAACTGACTTTTTTCATAAAATATAGCACAAAACATTTCCTGGCTAGCTATGAAAAGACACCTATATCTATTGTGGAAGACTGAAAGGTTAAAGCAATGAGGTTTGTATTGATTTGATTTGATAAAATAAAACAACAACAAAAATTAATAAAACATTTATAACTTCAGTTGATTTAGTCCAGGGGTTTGTTCAATGTCTTTAAAAAGACTAATAAATCAATGCCTCTATTCAATCTTTCCCCCCTAACATGTTTTACTTGAACAAAAGGAATAAAGTTACAGTCTTTAAAAAATGCCTAAATCAAAAGTACTTGACAGATCTTTTTATTGTAAGGTTATTTGAAAAAGACTAGTGAATAAACATTCAAGTCAGGCAACTGATGTTTTCAAGAAAGAGGAAAAATAACACAAATACACACACATATATATATATATATATTTTAAAGTTTCTTACATGGTCAGAGGGAAAAGCTTTGGCTTCTAGAAGAATTTTAAATCGTGTTGGTGTAGGCTTAAAAAACGATAACTGAAATGAAATGGATTTATTGGACATGACATTAGCAAGACTTGTAAATTCAACCACTTTATAATTTTTATCTTATAATCTCCAAACATTTTACAAACATAAATTAGTTGAACTTAAGAATTAAAAAGATGAGAACTTGATTGTCACCACAAAAATAGAAACATGAGAAGTAATAGTGTAATTAAAATATAAATAAATATTTATGTGTATAAAATATAAATAAATATAAAAATAAATAAAATATAAATTTTAATGAAATTTAATTGCCAGTGCCCTTTATCTGCACTAAATGGTAGAACTTTCTAGTCAAGGACTCTTTAACATCATGTTCTATAAGAGTAACTTTGAACACATTTGAAGTTTACCAACTTCATTTCATTTTCATGGGTTTGTTTTTTGTGTGTTTGTTTTTGTTTTTGTTTCTAAGGCTTCAGCTAATTTTCAGGCTTCTTTGAAGTTCTCTTAGACCTGCCATGAAGTCATTGTCATTTATTGTCCCATGATTCATAATCAGTTTTACTTTGTAATGTGCATCCTTCATTTCTGGAGGAACACCTTCTAGGAGGACTAGGGTGTATGTATATTACAGTTATATTTCCTCAATTACACTAACCTTTTTATTTCTCCATTTAGTCCTATTAAAACAACAACATAAACAAAAATAATGCTAAAATGTTATTGAATTCCTTTGCATTGGAGTGATCAACTGTGGTCCCAGAAGAAGAGAAAACACTTGTCTTTCTTCTAGGCAGAGAAGTGGGGGACCTATGGGAGTAGAATGATGCACATTCTGACAAATTCAAATGCTTTATTCATTAGGTTTTGTATATAAATATGTTTATATGCTTATATAGTTACAAAGGAAAAATCATTGTGATAGTGTATTGGGAAATAATTCTGAAGTTTGAAAGTCACTGGTAAAAGTTAATTAAAAAAAATTAGAAAAAATATAATTTTAAAAAGTGTGACAAATGTGTGTATAGGTGCACACAAAAAGACTTAGAATGGATGGTACAAACTTTCAGAAATGTTAAGCTCCTGATAAGATCTCAAATCAAAAATACCTATGAATATTTTGGATGTTAAAGTATCAGATTTGCTTTGTTAATTTTTCACCAATTTCTTTCCCTTCACACCTAAAAATAACTCCCAAAACACCGATCCATGATCCCACTTGATTTGTGTTCTTCATAGGAAGCAGTATTAAGAGATGAATTTCTGCAATAGAAGAGATCTGTATCTCCTATAATTTAAAAAAAGTTTGGAATTGTGTATTCTTTAAGAGTAATTTCCTTTTACTGCTGCTACAGCTCTTATTCCTTATGCTCTGAACAAAAATTGATCTTGATCTCAAGGCCATTAAAAGCTTACAATTATGAAAAAGGCATTATATCATGATCTAGCATTTTCTGGTAAGATTGAAAATAATCTAGAAACTTATTAAAAATAAATATAGCACCACAAGTTCATGAATTAAAGATAAAGAAACATCAGATTCAGGAATCAAAAATGTATTTAAAGATTGTTGGGAAAGCAAACTTACCAGTAGGAGATGCAAATTAACTGTCAAACCATTCATTAGGGCTATTTCATCCTTATGAGCTCCTGTAAAGTAAACAAACACTAGGGCAGATTTTTCTTTTGATCCTTCATAAGCTCTATTAGAGGCAGGTGGAAAAAGAGAGCTCATAAAATTCAGTCACTCTCTTAATTGCCTTGAAGGCAAGCACATATTTGAGATGTCACCACAACTAAATAGAAGTTAACCCCGTTGCCTCACTGTGCCATCTAGGCACGCTTACACACAGATACAGATGCTCTTAGTTTCCAGTTTTGATGCAGCAAATAAAAACAAGATAATAAAGTACTTTCTTGTTCCTGTAAACTAACAACTGATTTATTCATATCATTAGGTTCTTAGCCAAATTCCCAAACAGTACATTTTTGTGCTAAGTATGTCTCTAAAATATGACAAAAAGATATTACAGCTAATCACATTTTATACTAGTGGTAGTAATGTCTCCCTCAAATGCATCTTTAATAAAACAAGGCTTCTTTGTCCAACATAATTCTCCATTATTATATTGAAGTACATAACAGTTTACAAGATAAAATAGCTAGGACACAAAAGACAAAAAGCTAAGTAACTTTGGTTTTATCCATTCACACAGAGATATAAAATAATTAATATAGATGAATATCATCCAATTGGGGAAAAGCATAATTGATATCTTCACAAAATTTTAGTATCTTCCATCTCTAATTCTTATTAGTCAACTCTTTGGTACCAAAGGAGGAATAGAGGAACCAAAAGAAGATTCATGAACAGGAGGAAATAGGACACCCAAGAATTCAAACAGAAAAAAAAGCAATACTTTCTTTGCTGTGGGGCCATTACTTGTCCTTTTGGAAAGCTCATTATTCCTTTTCAAGCTTTTTCATCATAATTGAAAACATTAATTAAATATCTTAGTGTGAGTAATGCTGTGTTTTTGATAAAAAAAATTACAAATAAAAAAGTTTGCAGACACTTTTCCTGGAGCACATGCCTACGAAGAAATAGAATTTCCTCACCTGAAAAATGATTAGGTTGAACTCATTGATGTCTGAAGTACATTATAACTCCAATATTTTGTGAATTTATTAATGATACAGATAGATAGATATATACATATAGGTTAAAAAAGTACCATAACTATAAATTTTATGGGTTTACACATAGAGAGTAATATTCCAATGGCATATGGTAAGGTCATTTCAGTGGAAGAAAGTGAGAATATATTCATATTTAATTAGATTTTTCAACTAGATTAGGATATAGACCTACTTCTTGTCATTGAAGCTGTAATGTTATGCAACATGATTTGATACTTTCTCAGTTTATACAAAAGACAAATGAAGTATGAAATATGTTAGTAAGTACTGGGATATTGTGAGATTTATCCTCAGAAATTATAAGGTGAAAACTTCTAAGGGCAATGTAATCATCTCATTCCACCATTTCCAATATTAATTGTGATTCTGCCCAGATATATTAACCAAGAGCATCAATGGATCAATCTATATAATTTTTAATTGAGATAGATATTTACAGAACCTTCCATAGTACCAGGAAGTCTTTGAAATATAGGCAAGAAAAAATACTATAGCCTTTGCTAGTTTCCACATATTGTAAAAAGTAGTCCTGTCTCCTAACCTCTACTCTCACATCTCCAACGGTCTACTGAAAATCTCAAACTGAATGTCTCATAGGTGACATAAACTTAACATGTCTAAAACTGAACTCATTATTTTTCCCCCTAAATCCTCCTGTCTTCCTAACTTACTTATTACTGTCTAGGACTCCACCATCCTCTCAGTTACTCAGATTCATGACTTAGGAGTCATCCTTGACTCCTTCCTCTCTCATCCTCCATATCCAATCCTGTCAACCTTTGGAAATTTTCTCATCTGTTATCTTCTCTCTTCATGTACTGCCACCAACCTGATGAAGGTCCTCAGCGCCTCCTGCCTTAACTACTACCACAGCCTGCTGATTGGTTTCCTTTCCTCAAGTATCTCCCCACTGTTGCTCATTCTCTATTCAGTAATCCTAAAATGCAGGTCTGACCACCCCTGCCCCCTACTATTCAGTAAACTCCAGTGGCTCACTATTATCTCCAGAATCAAATACAAAATCCTTTGCTTGGGTTTTAAAACCCTTCATAACCTGGTCCCTTCCTACCCTTCAATCCTTTTTCATTCATTCCTTTCCAGGCTTCACTCCTGACTCTCTGGAATTTCTCTACTATTCTACAGAAACTTCTTTACCCTAAAAGTTTACTTTACTCCTAGACTTCTCACACTGGAAGAAGCATCTGTCCTGGGGCCTTTTCCTCTAATTGGCTGGTTTCTCCCAGTACCTCCATTTTAAAGAGAAGGGTCAGAATAATTATGTCTTCATTGTTTTTCCACATGGTACTCCTGACTCTCCAAACTTCTTCTATAATAACCTCAACTAGGTACTCCTTTCCCCACCTCTTACCCTCACATGCTCTCTCTATCCCACTTCCTTCCTAGCTTCCTTTTTTTATGTGTTGTCTTTCCCCATTAGAATGTAAATTCCCTGAGGGCAGGAACTATTTCTGCTTGTTTTTGTATCCCAATGCTTAGCACAGTGCTTGGTACACAGTAAGCACTTAATCCTGGTGAGAAGGAACCAGCATGTGCCCAGTGAGTACAGAAGCAGTGGGGTGGGGACACCTCTGCTGTGGGCACTTACAGGAGTCTGGAGGTCTTGATTTGAGTCCAAGATCAGAAGAGTGAACTAAAGATATATATATTACACACACATATATGTGTGTGTGTGTGTGTGTGTGTGTAAGTGTATACATATGAATACTTATATATTAAATTTATCCAATGCTCAACTGTAGCCTTGGGGTGGTGGGTAGGGGGGAGGGAGGGGAAAAAAGAACAAAGTAAAAAGTGTACAGCAGAGAACAAAAGAAAACCTATAAGGAAGCAAAGAAAAGATGGACAGCTTTAAACATAATGAACATACTTTAATATATAGGCTTTCTTGAAATGAAAAGTTATGGCTGTACAATTTGAATCCTCTCCTATGTTTTGCTGTGCACATAAGTTTGTATTTTTTTATTTTATATTTAAGTTTATAATGTTTCTTTTTCTTTTCTTATGTATTTAAGTTTTAGCATTTGTCTAAAATAATTTTTTAAAAGAGTACAATTCAATCAATATAATAATATACATAAAAATGCCCTGGTTTTCTGTATTCTCTTCTGAACTTTCTTGTGGTTTCTTCTGGTATTTTAAAAAAAGTTTCCCTCATGGTCTTTTTTTCTTCTTTTTGAATTTTTTTTCACTATTTGTCAACTTTTCCTCTATCTACACCTGCAATATATAACCTTTTCTAAATACTATTACCACATCTTTATTTTTATTCTTGGGCATTGTATTTCCTCACCTCCTTTGGGAGATTACATGATATAGTAAAAGGGCTGGTGGTTTGTAGTCAGAAAACCTGTTTCCAAACTCTGATTCTTCAGTTTGCCACCTGTATGGCCTTAAGCAAGTAATTTTACTTCTATGGGCTTCAGTTTCCTTAACTATAAAATAAGGGAGTTGGCCTACATGGCCTTAAAGGTTACTTCCATCTCTAAATCTATGATCTTGATTTTTGCTTTTTGTGTGTGTTAGTCGTTCAATAATTTTGTAGTGACCAGTAGATGCAATTTCAACGTATATTTTACAAGGTCTTTGGCCCTTTGAAATATTCTACAGCATAAAAATGTGAGAAATAAAAACCTAGAGGACAAAAGTATACAGTCTTTGTGTCTTGCACACTGTTTAATATTCTGTAGTTCCTTTAATTATAATTATTGATAGGGATAACAATTATAATGATTACAATAACAACTCACATTTACAGAGCATTCTAATGTTTACAAAATGCTTCACATATATTATTCAGCCTCATAATGACCTAATTAGGCAGTTATTACAGTTATTATTATCTTCATTCTACAGATAAGGAAACAGAAGCTCAAAGAGGTTAAGAGACTTGCTCATGGTTATACAGATAGCAAGTCTAAGAGGTAGAATTTGAAACTAGGTCTTCCTGACAGAAAACTTCCAGGTATAAAACTCTCTACTATAACATGCTGTTTTCTACATATTATCTAACTATAATGTACATAAACTGGTCAATAAAATCACCAAATCTTTACATAATTACACATTTAAAAAAGAGTTGCATAAAATTCATAATTGGTAAAATGAGTCCAGACATAAAAATAAGCATACTTTTCTGTTTTCATTATAGCATATCATGTAAATAAAGCTATATTTAAGTAACTGATATTAAAAGGTAAATAATTTGGACTTAAATGATCAATATTTTATCACAAGTATATAAGATTGGAAAACTGTTTTAAGAGATATGTGGAAGATACATAGCAACTAGTGAATTAATTGAACCTATAAACAAAGAATACAACACTTGTCTACCATGTATTATGCCAATTGACACAATCATGATTTAGGTGCAAGTATTTTAATAGTGCTTTATTTGCTTAAGTTGTGAGTACTACAAAGCAAGAAGACTACAGGATTATAGATTTAGAGCAGGAAAAGGTCTTAAAGGTCATCTAGTCAAACCCCCTTATTCTACAGATGAGGAAATGGGGTTCCAGAGTGACTTAATCAAAGTCACACAGTTGGTAAGTGGCAGAGAGAATCTGACTACAGGTCTTCTGACTCCATATCCAGTGCCCATTCCACTATACTGGCAAGTGTCCGTGAAATGATGTTTCTAATTCCCTTTCTGTGGACAATGAAATCAATTACACCAAGTCCTTTAATAACATCTTTAAGGAGACCACAGAAACTATCCTTCCAGCAAGTTATATCTTCTTTATGCCTTTTCATTTCATTTAGAGAAAGAATGTTTTAAACATGTATATGGTTCAGTTTCTCTAGTAGTATGGTAGATTGTTAGCACTCTTAGTGTGTAATTTTTGTCCAAATATCAATAATTGCTAAATATTGTTTACTAAGAACTGTTATGCTGAGCACTCTCTATACTCTTTTTTTTGCCACTCCAA